CCAGAAGCATTTACTATTTGAAAACACACAAAACTTTAGAACCATTTAAAATTCTTGTTAGCCATTAAATTTTTAGAAACAAGGCCATAAAATAAACTTAATAAGCATAGGTAAGCTCATACTTCATTATTAACGATTGGTTATTGACAATTTTCATTTCATTTACCCATATAATCTGAATACACATGTATGAGTTTGAAGTAGATGGATATTAATGGGACTACATTTTATTCTGCCTTGACACAGGTGTCACGCAGTATCAGGTTACCAGGTAAAGCGATAAATCACTTACATTTTGTACAGGGTGGTAAAGAGTTGCTGAGTACTGATGAGTCTGCATACTTCCTGCATCAGTTCTGAGGTAACTGGGTTCCTCTGGCACTCAGAAAGCCTATTCTGCAAAATATCTTCAGAAGAGTTTCTGCTACTCTTTCTATCTTTACCAGTGCTATTGCTTCTGGATAACGTGTTGCGGAGTCGATTACTGTAAGCACATAACAGTTGCCTTTATCAGACACAGGCACTAGTGTTCTGATCAATGGCACCTTCGCTACCTTTCCTTTTGGTATTGTTCTTTGGCAGATGTCACATGATCTGCAGAATCTACTCACATCTCCTCCGACTCCTGGCCAATGGATGTTACTGGTGATTCTGTCTGTCATTTTCTTTGTCCCTTGGTGTCCTCCCACAACTGATTCATGAGCCAACATCATCACTTGAGTATGGTATTCTGTTGGTACTTTGATCCATTTCATTTACTCAGTATAACTGCTTTGATAGATACGGTATAGAATTCTCTTCCATTCCTCTATTCTATATGTATTTTTCCCTTTTGTTTTGTGCTCAACTTTCTCCTAGGCATTTTCCCACAGTTTTTACAGTGAAGAGTCTTTCTTTTGTGCTTCCTTCAGTTCCTGCAAACCTAATTTCAGGATGTCGCTTTTTGACACTTGCAGGGGCTTGATGTCTTGTTTGCTCTTCTTTTCTCAAGGTCTCCTATATAATATGGAGTATCCACCGTTATTTTTGCTATGGGGAACTTTCTCACTGTCCCATCAATTAGCAAACACAGCCGTACCTTATCTATCACCTGATCATCGGATACTAGACTAGTTCTCACTGCTGCAACACTACATCCAGTTTCTAGTAGAACTTTTACTTTCTTGTCCCCCAACATAGCCTTCACATATTGTCATATTATGATTTGTTGGCACCTCTTGATATTTGTTGCATGCTCCTATCACTATTGACACTGTTGATCCATTTGCTAATTTGAGCCAACCATCAGTAATGCAATGATCAATCATTCTCCTTTGTATTGAATCTGAGGAGTAGCCTTGGTTCTCTTTGTTCTAGCAGCAACATCCATAATGCCAGTCACTCGTTTCTTATTAGCACTGTCTTTGTAAATAGCTCCAGCTGCTTTATAGTGAGGTTTCAGCAGTTGTTTGCTGGCAATGGACTTGCACTCTTTTGCGATGGATCCCATTTTATAACAAACATAGCATCTCTTCTCCCTTCTGTCTATTAACCTCCTGTCACCTTTGGTAAGCTCCTGCTTCTGTTCAGCCATTACTGGTTTCACATTTGACTGGATATTCTTCCAGGAAATGGCCTACAAGTATATGCAGGCCTGATGTCAGAAGATGCCATGGATTATGATAAATTAAAAGTAGCTTTACTGAAACAATATGAACTTACTGAAGAAGGTTTTCGTCAGAAATTCAGAGGAGTAAAACCCGACACAGGAGAAGCTGTACTTCAGTTTGTGGCATGTCAGCGGCATTATTTCACCACATGTGAAAATAGTTTTGAAGGATTGGCAGACCTATTAGTGTGAGAACAGTTCATGATCATGTGCTCAAACAACATGTTACTGTTCTTAAAGGAGAGAGCACCAAAAGACATAGATGATATGATCCAGCTGGCAGAACAGTATATGTGAGAAGTGGGCTGAGACAGACTGCTCAGTCGCCTTTATCCCAGTTCTGACTTCGGGCAAATCTTTCATATCACTCCAGGAAAGCATCCATGTCATCTTGATGTTCACCAAATTTGGGTAGCTTAGGTCAGCTGGCCCTAATTCCCTTGTCATTCTTGGGTCTTTCTTCCTTCGGTTGGGCGAGTTTTAAAATCTCAATTTGTGCTCTTATTCTAGTCTCTCCACTCTATCTTTTTCAATTTGTATTCTTATGCTTTCTCTCTCTATTTCCAGTCTTTCCTTTTCTTCTTCTTCAATTTGTCTTTTCTGTTGCCATTCTTCTCTCTCTAGCTCTTGTTGTGGTTTGACAAACTCTCATAGTTCAATGTCTTTTAACCCAAGACGTTCTCCAATTTCTATCAATTTACCAAAAGTTGACATTGTTCTATAGCGTGATTGAAATCTCCACACTATATGCAATACTACTACAGTTGTGCATAGATAGGCCTTCTTGTTTTTCGCTGGTGTTCACGTTTCCTTTTACTGCCATTTACCACTGTATGATCCTGTCGTGGACGTCAAATTGTCAGGTTTTGTTTTTGTGGATTATTATACAGTAGGTGTCTGTGACTTGTTAAAGGTAAAGACAACAATGAATAAACAGCTCGCACTACACGTTTTAATACAAACATATATATATATATATTCTGAACTTAAATACACACAAATACATCAGCACAGACATAACCCTTGCCTTGTTTGTAGCTTTGCTGCAATCTGCTCTCTTTCTGCTCTGCTGGCTCACTTTATACCTTTCGTCCCATCATCAGTTTGCCACCACTCCTTCACTATCAGTTCTCATGTGCCACTCTAAACTCTCAACAACAAGAAGTCACAAATGCAAAATACAACATCATCTAAAAAAAAAATGAAATAATATTACAATGATCAACAAACACAACAAATAAATGAGTTTTTATATCGTGACAGCAACATATAGGCTGTTTACAATCCCTATTTATCACTTTCTGACATGCCGTTGGTTTGGTTTGGGTAGACATATCTAAGTATCAGTTTATGCATTATGTAGCCCACAACACCAAGTTTATTGTGTAACCTTGTTTCTATCAATTCAATGTCTAAAAATAATTTTAAATGGTTTTAAAGTTTTATTTGTGTGTTTTCAAATAGTAAATGCTTCTGGATCCAATGAAATCAGCCAAAGTAGAGTATGAAGAAACCTGATGCATCACTGGTCCTTATTGGTCAGTATTTGAACCAACACCTTGATTTCGGTTTTACCATTCATTCACTGACAAATGGCCGACGATGGTTTTAGCAATCTCCGCAATGTTTTTTAAAGCCGATTTCAAACTAGTGGGAGTACAGCTGCCTTATAATAAATCATGCAAATTCTGTGTGTATTAGTGCTGTACACATTTTCCATTTGTTGACTGGTGTACAATAATTAGTATTCTATTTACATTTTCACAATTGCCATTGTGCATTCACACACTTCCATGGCTGGAAATTATAATTCTCTGGGACTCCCTACTTCAGGTGAGTTCCTCATCATCATGAACACAAGTTTTCATTATGCTGTAAATTTCCCCATTTGCCCAACCTGCTTTAATTCTAAAATAAACTACCAGTTTATCATTATTTATTGCTGTGCTAGTGATATGCAGACTTCTTAAAAGTCTATATGAAAGTATTAAAAAATTATTACAAGGTGATTTAGATAAACAACTGAAGACAAATTCAGTTTCGATGACGAGGAACCCACTTTCAGACTAAAAATGTTTGGAGACGGCTTGAATAGATAATGAAGAAAAACTCTAATATAAGTTTAACATAACAGCAAATGAACAACGTTTCGACAAGGTTTTTCTTCATTACCCATTCAAGCCGTCTCCAAGCAAAATATCAGTTTACTTCTTTAAATTAATTTCACAAAATAATAGTGTAGTAGATTAAGCCTATCATGCCATATGACTACAAAGTAAGTTTGTTATGTGGAGTTCTTATTAACTTCATTCATTCAACCTTCTTTATAACTACGCATGTTTAAACTCCATCATATCTTTTTAAGAAACACAGAACACGAATTTTAGAGACATCTGTGATAGAAAATGGAAAAGAATAAATAACACAACATAACATTTATAATTACAGCATTGTAAACACATTTTTATCTTCATGAAAGTTCAGGCATAACTCCATCAGCTTTACAACTAGATTAATTCTGGTATATAACAATACCATATTCTTGTACTATAATATTCATGGTTTTGGAAAACACACTGCTCAGATAGTCCCAATTTTCATTTAAAGGTCAAATTACTGTAAAAAAAAAAAATTTATCTTATATTTCCTTGAAATAACTTTTAATTGCAATTAGTGAATGCTTATTTCAATACAGAGTCCATAGAGATACTGCTTGATATTCAGGATAATACTGTGCAATGACAAATCATGCTGTAAACTTGAGCAATGTACAAATCTCATGTTTAAGCAGTTAAAATACATGTAATAGTATAAAAAAAATGTGACTTTTAACACATACCCAGCATTGTACTTCAAATACCCATGAAATCTGTACTTATAGCTGACGGTGACTGAGATAATCAATACAATCAAATTGAAAAGACGTACTAATTAGTACTAGTTATTTTTGTGACAAAACGTAAAAATACACAAAAATGTGACTTAAAATTCAAGTTAAAAATAAAATTAAAAGAAGTACTGAGGAGATCCAAGCAACACTGTAAGTGTAAATGAATTGTAATGTCATTATCATCACTACTAATTAGTACTGCTACTGCTACTAATACTAACAATAGTAAGTTAGTACTAATAGTAATAATAGCAATATTAGTTAGTGTGTGTGTCTATTTAGAATTACCTAGCTGAGCTTAAAATTGAATTTTGAACTCTTGACTTTGAGCAAATTTGGTTATATTTCACTCCAACACTAACAGTCTAAGAGTAAGATACCAATATAAGCGAGTAAGGCCTAACAGTACTTATATCTAAAAACAAAACAAGTTCCCGATAATGTATTCACTCTTGTATTTACATCTCTTACAAATGTAGGGCCTGCTTTCCTTTCTTGAGTTTTTTTCTTTTCGCCATCTTGAGAACTTTCTCCTTCGCTCCCAGTTAGGCCTAGGTCCTCAGCTCCTTTTTCAAGTTTTTGGTCTTGTGATGCTTCTTGCATTTTTTTAAACATTTCAAGAAAGCTTCCATCGTTCGCAAACATATTTAAATTTCTAGGTCGAGAATAACAGTAATTCGCACTCCCTGCTATATTACTTGTACTGCTGTTGCTGTCTTGATTATCAAACCCAGTCTCACCATCAGAACTCGAGCTCGTATCACTCTCTCTCTCCATCTTGAATTAGTGAACACTGCTATATAATTAAAGAAAACTAACTTATAATTGGTTATGTTTCAGCCCTCGTCCAATCAGATACCCTTTTATATTATACACATTTAACGTATTGTTGGTTACGTACACTAATATGAACCAATCAGTGCTTGTCTTAGAATAAACCTATATCAACGTGTATTCTTCTTTCATATCTTGGCGTCATCAACAGGGTTCTGTATAAATACACGAAGTGGCGAAACGCAGAATAAAAGCCATGAAAAAGTACGAATCAATACAAACTCGACAGGTATTTCCAAATCTTTAGAAGAACACTTGGTTATTACCATATTTTACACATTTTCGATTTGGAACAAGCTTAATTTTACGTAAGCACGATTCTAATTGCACATCAGAGTACTGCCATAAACGCATTCAGCAAGTTTAAATAAAATGCACGAGAGTCAATACTATCCACTGACCACTAAAAATAACTAAGATATACATAATTGTTTTTGTGCAAGCACATATATACATTCCCTTTTCTTTTTTTTAAATCCATAACTTATGTTAGTTGATAGGTAAAAATATATAGACTCTTACTTTCTGCATAACCAGCCAGCAAGCTAACCACTAGTTCATTCCTGGTCATTAAAGTCGTTATTGTAAATAACATAGCTAGTTTGTATTTAATTTAGCAGTGATAGACTAGAGGGAACACCACCCACCACCAACTCATAGTCTATTATTTTACCAACGAACAGTGAGATTATCCGTAACATTATAAAACCTCCACGAAAGAAGGGACGAGCATCTTCAGTGACGGAGATTCGAACCCACGGCCCTCAGATTGCGAGTCAAGCGCCTTAACCACCAGCCCAGAACATTCACAGGATTAAGAAGTGACAATAAATATTACTGACAAGAAGGAACTGATTTACCCCATAAGCATTATTAACATACTGTTACGTCTCCGTTTGTTAATTAACTTTCCGTAACTTCGTT